ATATTAGATTATAATTTTATGTAATTATAAAATTTAATGTTTAAAATAATTTAATTTATTATATAATTAATGTAATTAAAAATATATTAACATTATTAATTTATAAAATTAATTGTTTTGTATAAAAATAATTTATTTAAATAATTAAAAGAAAAAAATAAAATTGGAGAGAAGGGAGTGGGCCATGTGGCTTGCAAATTTTGCAAGTAAAATCCTATGTGGCACAAAATTGCATTTTTGCAATTGCTTTTGCAATCCATTTGCAAGCCCCATGTGGGTGCTCTGATGCCTCTTAGTAAACATGAATATTTTATTTGATAAGTAAGATGCATTAAAAGCCAAGTAAACAGCTAGCTACCATCTTAATATAATACACTACAACCAATGGTCATACAGAAAATCGGATCTTATTAAGGCTAATCTCTCTGGTTCATCCATATTAAAATAGAATTGAATGATATTATTTAGAGTAAATTACGAATTTGGTCCTTATGGTTTTAAGTTTGACTTAGATTTAGACCTCATAGTTATTTTATTCGCCACCCCTTCCCTTACCTTCAACCCTACATAAACAAGATTTCTAATCAGGATACATACCAAATACGGGTTGAGGAACTTGAAACAGCAATAAAGTATTTATGCCCAAAAGAAGTGTCTGTATTTTTTGTTATGGATTTTAGACACTAATTCAGAGTAAAAGAAGGTTATTGGTAGGGAGTCTATTAGACATGGGTATGCTTGCAACCTTCCACCATGATCGATCTCAACTCAATGGTCCACACATGGGAGAAATGGTTGGATTAAGTTTTTTTGATTTTAGGTTTTGTGGATTAGTGTTCTTTTTGTGCTTGTTGAAGAAGAGTAGTGGTTGGATTGGAATTGCAGGGGAGGGGGTGCCCGGAAAATCAGGAAAGGGAGGTAGAGGAGGTGTGGTCAGGGTTGCACGCGAGAGGGGAAGGGATCCTTCCGATTTTGGGGATTTGACGACAAGGCTCTAGCGGTTGAGGTCCCTATAGTTTTACAATATCATAAGACAAATTGGGAAAAGATTAAAAAAAAAAAAAGATATGACCAAAATACCCATCATTTAACGGTTAGGAGTTAAGGTATCACTCATAGAGGTCAAATGTTATGAAAATACAAACTCTGAACACTATTCTAGAATAGATAAAACTTTAAAGACTATATTTAAGACAAACTTAAAACCATATTGACCAAATCTATAATTTAAATACTAAATTATGAAGATCGAGTAATTTTGAGTTTTGACACCCAATGAAGGTCACCACCTAACCACTCCAAATCTCCAATAGTTTAAGGGGTGTTTGAGATTGCTTATAAAAACAACTTATTGACTTATTCCGGTGTGACACCGATAATAAGAACTTTTGAGTGTGTGGATAAACAACCTATATCGGTGCCAAACCGGTAATAAGAAATTTTTAAAGAAGTTAAATCATTATAACTTTTAATAAATTGATAAAAACTTTTGTAAAAAAAACATAAGTTGTTTCAAATAAACAATCCCAAACACCCCTTTAATTTACCACTCATGAATTATTTTAACCAACTTTAGTTCTGTTGATAATTGTGCATTATATATCCATTAAAAATTGTCTTTGGTTTAATTAGATGGATATTTATTTAAAGAGGGTGAATTATTTTAAAATAATATCCGTTAGTAATCTTTGATTTGACAAGTGATCAATTAAATGAATATGTTTAAATAATAATTAAAATTTCAAAATAAATATTATTTCTGGTTACTATTTATATTTAAAAATATGAATAAAAGTTCACGAATATCACATAAAAGATGAAATGAAACCGCATCAAGTGATTACAACACCAAGAAAAGTAGAAATACAAACAAATTGATGGTACTTTTTACAAAGTAAATGTGAGTTCATTTAAGAGTTTTTCCTTAATCAGTTATATTCATGGATATAAAACAAAACGAATTCCATTTTAACGGTACATTCCTTGGGGAGCCATGGGTGGCATATGTACTCCATAATTCTGTCTCTCCAGATTACCTTCCCATCCTGCAATCATTCATATGCACCAAGATCAAATTTTGTGAAATAACAATAATCGAATAGGAATACATTTCTACAGATGGTGGCAAATGTATTGAAAGGGAGATTGTTAATTATTATACCGATGGAGATGTCAAATCCGCGATGTTTGAGCTCACGATACTCTTGACACAAGGCACATAGTTCACAACAGAAGTGAACAAGGCAGTCATTGCAGGGAGTTTCCCGTAATCCATATTGACTCCTGATCTTAGTCCGATACGTACAAGAATACATGCATCCACAACATATGAGAGCCTCGATTAGCGCATAGAGACCCCCATGTACTCCACAAGCTGTTTTAATTCATTTTAACGCACGTTCATTAGCTAATATCATTATCTTACATGATAAATATCTAAGAAAATGTTTAATGGTTGAACTCGTGCTTAGACCGTACTAATTTTGATGATGAGCTTATATGAGATCTATAAACGGCATCGAAAATAAAAGGGAATCAGAAATATGAACATTATTTGGTAGGTTAGGGAATGAAGTCTAAAAAACAAGCTATATATGAGTTTTAATGAATCCACTTACAAGTATTCCCTTTGTCAACAATCTCAGCTATTTGTCCAAAAGTAATGCATGGACACCAACATGTTAAGCAACCTGTGAGTGGTACAAAAAAACAACCAAACTCGCTTAGTTGTGCCATGTGAATTAATAGATATTTGTACCAGACGGACCTAAATACAGTTAATCAAGGAAACTACTTACAGTTGGGGACATCAGAGCAGCAGGCACAAAGGCTGCTAGACCAGTTGCCGTGGACTGAATGAGGAGCCACGTATTGAGCTGGAACTCCGGTGGCATGCGGTGGTGGTGGTTGGTGGTGGTATGATTGTGGAGGAGCTTCTGGTGGTGGTGGTTTTGGGGAATAGTCTTGTGGGAGAGAAGGGTACATGATGAAAGATGAGTTGACTGTTGGTGCCTTAACGTTGGAAATGGAGATATCTGATTCAAAACAAGATATTGAAGAGTTGGATAAAATAATATAAATGGTCAAATTAACAACCATGAATTTTCTAACTATCAACTTGGAATTTTCAATTATGGCAAATATATATACACATATATATACACACACACACACATATATATATATATATATATATATATGTTGACCAAGACCTTGCATGTGCTTAACAATTACGTTTACACTCTCTACTCCAAAACATGTTGGATCCAGCAAATATGTATGTATGTATGTATATATATATATATATATATATATATATATATATTGTGAACTATGCATAAGTTAATGCTGTTGTATTTTCGTTTTATTTTAATTAAACTAATTGACTAATATAAATAATCGATTTAAGAGAAAAAAAATAACTTGATAGAAATAATATTAACAATTAGTTTGATTCATGACTAGAAAAACATACTTTTACTCATGGATATTACCGACAGTCAAAATCCACCAGAAATTTCCGACGGAACAATGACGGATGACTCACCATGGATACTTTTTCCAACAAGAAAAATATCCATCAATAATATCTAATATTACGATGGATTTTAAGTTAATTTATTTTTAATTTTGAATTTGACGCTAGTTAGGCTGATGCAGTTGACCGATCAATTTGAGGTGTTCATGATACAGTTCCCGGGTAAAAATCCTCCCCCTAGCTCCTCCTAGTGTTAGGATATTTTGTATGATATTTTAGGACTCCTCCCCTGTGTGTGTAGGATATTTTGAATGATATTTTGAGATTTATTATTTGATATTTTAGAATTTTGTATTAAAAACAGATTTTTTTCAATATTGTATAATTATTTTAAAAATCTTAATAATTTTTTTAGTATTTTTAAATTATTAAAAGAAATCATATTTTCCATCCGTACTTTTTCTAATTTTAATGTTGTAGTGATCCATTGATAATGGTGATATGTCATTTCCTTCGATCCGTTAGTGATATCTTTTCTCATGGCTTTTCTATTGATATAGACTTTTACCGACGGATCACCAACGAATCGGATTTTTACCGACGAATTTTTTGTCGGTAAAAATCCTTCATTTTGTAATGGTAGTTAAGTTTGTAAAAGATTTAACAGGCCACCGAATTATACGTCAAAGACATTTAGTTAACTTTCAATTGTTGTTATTATAATCCTGATTTTGTTGTAACCAACTCTAAAATGGTTCAAATCATTCAACAATTTTCCATATAAGTATATGGGCTTGGACAAAATAAAAGGCCCATTTTTATAACCGAAAGCCCATAGTTTTCATCAATTGACAATTAAACAAGCCTTTCGTAATGATCTAGTTTCTTGTTGTGTGTGAATTTATATAAACATTGATCTTGGATCTAATTGCAAACGCCTATAAATTTCTTCAATTATCGTAGAAGTGATCGGTTTATAAGCAACTTTTGATCATTATTGGCAGTACTAATTCTAGACCAGTGGTCCTAATCGGTCCTTTTGGATTTAAAAAAAAATAACAAATACAAAAATAAAAGAATGAAGTAAACAATTATTTACAAAAAAAAAAAATCAAACTTCATTTAATTGTACAATAATTAAATGTAATAAATAAAAATCAGTTGAGCAATTACATTGTAAAATTAATTAATTCAACTCTCTGACATTTCCTTTTTTATCTTTTCGTCTTGAATATTCTTTGTATCTTTCATTTTAATTACATTTATCTTTATTCGTCTTAAATATGGTTCATATTGTAACAACCCAAAATCCAAAAACAACAATATTCATGATCGAAAGCCAAATCGGCACAAAAAAATGAGTACAAGGTTTCTCGTTACATCTCATCAAATTGCAGATGTTAAAATACATCCACAACTGAGAATTATAAAAAATAAGAACAATGGAAACTAAACCGGCAAGCTATCCACTAGGTGGATCAAATCTTCCCCTTTCCCTTCAAGCTACTTTCAACATACAACTTTCCTGAAAATGGTTTAGTTTTGAAAGCGACGGTTAGACCAAAAAGTCTTGTGAATTCCTTTGAACACGACTTTAGCATTTTAAACATTTAAAATGATGGAATATCAACTATGGAAATACCATAATCAAGTAAAAGAGCACATTCTTATCACATGGACATTGCACAACGTTTGTACCCACATCGTCACACTCCCTTGACATTTCAATCAAGAACCTCAGTAAATGCCTATCCAATGTGCACAAGAAACATATTCAAGGCACACGAATTATCACTCCCAAAAGATATCGCTATCTCAAGGTAACCTACGCCAACTGTGCAATTCCACACATCCCATGTAGCCACATATTTCTCAATAACAGCAAAGGTGCAACATAGTAGTTTGCATAGTAAAGCCAACAATGCATAAAACCATAATCAGTGCTTAAAAGCATTTAAAACTATCACATGTTCATAAAATCTGATAAGAAAGGCGTTAACCCATCGATCATAACCACTAAACGGTCCAACCGAGCACCTAAATTGGCCAAGATAGGAAAGACGGTAACCCATATTAATTACCCCAAAAGGCATCTATTATAGCCCTCTAATCACCCCCTAGAATGATGCTTCCATTCCTAGCTTGAAATGAGGAACGAAACCGACGATGTTGCGCCGCAACAGTGGCTTACGCGACTTGTGCCACGACCTAGGTCGTGCGCCAAGTCATGCAACCCTCTGTGTGCACTGCTTCATTCCCCAATGTACATGTCTGATCCCAAGGGCGGACCTACCTAAGTGGTATGAGTGGCACGTGCCACCGTATTATTTCTCCGCCGAAAGGGTAAAAAATTTAGGTTTGTGAACGGTGCTACTGTATCGTCTTAGAAGGTGCTACCGTATTTTTCTCAATTCTATAAAAACCATACTTTTTATAATTATTTTTTGGTATATATTGACCTTTTTCAAAAGATGAAGACATGTCGGGTACAAGTTTAGGAGTTGTTCATCGGTTCTATAAAAACCATATTTTTTGTAATTATTTTTAGATAGTATATTATATTATTAGGGTTGTAAATGAACCGAACGTTCAGTAAACCGTTCGGCGGAAAGTTCGTTTATTTAATAAATGAACGGACATGCACAATTTTTTTTGTTTGTTTAGTTAAATGAACAAACATGAACAAGAGTCACAATCGTTCATTTATGTTCATGAACGTTCATTCATTTATCGTTCGCTTACGTTCGTTTATATTCGTTTCTTTATGTACTAAATTTAATATATAATCTTTTGTTTATTTAATTTAAATTCAAATAATATTTATATATGTTCGTTTAGCCCGTTCATTTATGTTCTTTTAGCCCATCCGTTTATGTTTGTTCCTTTACATTCATTTAACATGTTAACGAACGAACACAAACACATGATTTTCGTTCGTGTTCGTTCATTTGTTCGGTTAAGTTAAACGAATGAACACGAACACAATGATTTCCGTTCGTGTTCGTTCATTTGTTCGGTTAAGTTAAACGAATGAACATGAACAAGCCTCCGTTCGTGTTCGTTCTGTTCGTTTATAGTCCTATATATTATATTAATTATATGACGCAATCGTTTGAAAAATTTTATGGGTCCGTCCATGTATGATCCCACACTCCATTTCTCAATTCCCACTATTAAATTATGCTCAAAATATCATATAGCAACCTAAGGAGACTTTTCTAAAAAAATTACTCAAATCCAACCATTAGGCACAACTAATCATCCCTTTTCCAAGCCAAACCCAAAAGTTTACCACCATAAGAAACCCAACATTTAAAATCAAACCAATGGAGTAATAATAATATGATTCCAATGGGAGGATCAAGTTAAATGTCAAAACCCTTATCAAAAAGGGATTCATATTGAACATCATATCAATACATCAAAGAACACCCAATGTAGCCCTAGATCTTACAACTCAAATGTTAGAACTCCATTGTTGGAGAAACTAAGCTTGGGAATAAGATTCTTACCTGAAGATGATGATTTCTCGTTTGCTTCTTCTTCAAATCGCCTCAAAATCTTCAGTGAGGCTTTTCTCCTCAAAACTTCTACTTCACACACACACACACATACACCTTGAGGGAATCGACTGAACGAATGAAATGAGAGTGCCCTTTTCTTATTTACCCCTCTATTTACAGATCTAGTCCCTGAAGAATGAAAAAGATTACTCCCTCAACCCTAAGCATTAAAAATCCACATAAATAGAGTAGGGGTTGTTACACATATTGTTCATCTTTTCTAACCTTCTTTAACTAAGTGATTAAATGGAGTGGAGTTTAGATCTAAAGCATCTTATATTTCTTTTAATAAACTTTCAACTTCGTTTATGTTGTATTTTGGGTTTAAAGTTGATGCAATTGATAAAACAGGGACATATCTTTTAAATATTTAATAACTTATTGCATTAATTTCACTACTCATGACAACGAATTTTTATTTAATATCGTTTGAATTTTTTAGACATATTAAATAATTTAGGTGAAAGCTATGGATATTGACCCTTTTTTCGAGTTGTGACTAGGCCTTTTCGGGCTTTCACGAGAACGACCGAACATGTTTTTGGTTAAGAATATCCGGTCCCATGTTTTGGTTTCCGTTTATAAACAGTTCTTGATACATGCCTATTTTAACCAGTCTTTTTTTAGACTCGTACCAAAGGTGAACCTCATTTTTTTTCAAGTGCTGATATCATTTGATTATAAAAAACGAAGCTATGGATATTTTTCAAAAAAAATCACCGTTTGTCTGTTAGTTAGTTCCTCACTTTTTGTATGTAAGGTCTTGCTTTCGAGTCCTTTATTGCAAAAAAAAAAAAAAAATAAGCAATATAATAAAACTGAAATTAACAGCTAAAAACTAAGAAAATTATTGAAACATGATTCAAACCCACGCATGTCATCGAAACCAACTTTGCCAAGACAAATTATTGGTGTTATCAATTATTGTAGTTTCAAAATATATATATATATATATAATGACACACGACATTACAATACGGTTGCATCTTTCATGAGTCAAATTTTGTTTAGCTTATGACCGAGGAATCGTATCT